TTTAAAATACTTTCTTTTTTACACTTCAGATAAAGTTGTTCAACAGCGCAAAAGTAAACTCAGACAGAAAACTGAGCGGTCGGGCTGAAGAAGAGCAGAGCTGTCCCGTCAAAGGTCCGGCTCAGGAAGAGCTACACCCAGATAAAAAACCTCGGACAGATCTAACTGCCTGGAGAGCAGATTTTCAAACCGGCCCTCATTTCATATCATTTCAACACATTCATACACAACATTTATATGACATCATGAACATCACACACCAAAAATAACTGATTTCATGGAGGACCAGACGCATTACCATGAATCAAAAAAGTGCTTTGCAAGGCAATAAAATTTGGTTTTGACATATATGGAGTGAATTCCCCCTTTAAAGGACCAGCGCAGCTGTCTGTACAGAGAGTTCCACACACCCAGGTTCCTCTGTGTTCCTCCAGTGTTGACACCCATTTCCTACAGAGGGGGCTAAACTCTGGCACTGCACACCTGACCGTGTTTAATGTGTATTTGAACAAATCCTGGTCATCTTTGAACCTTCATGTTATCAACTGATCTGTTAATTGGCATTTTCCTACCTGATTCAAGGCATGAATGAACATCAGAAGTACCAGTTCCTTTTGACTGTTATAGGCAATGGTCTATATGTTAATCTTATTTCAAATGTTGAAGTTAGTTTGGTGATGCCTATTGTCATGTAAATGATACTTTATCGAGAATCAATAAAGATATAATAAAATAAAAAAGAAGTACCAGTTCCAGTTTAAGCCGTTTGAATGTCTTCAGTGTAATTCATTGACTGATTCTGGATGTCAGCAGGGGCACACGCGCACACCCCCGTACTCACACAAAAGGGGGTTTTCCTCTCCAGGGCTTCTGCTCTCCAGAGCATTCCGTGACTTTTGGCTAGGAACCTGTTCTGTTGTCTGGCTAACCAACATCCAAACTGGACAAACGAACCTCCATCTCAGGTGAGTAAGAATACTTCAGACGTTCAGAAAATGTTTGTCTTTGGTTATTTACACAAAAAGTGTTGAATTGAAAGCCAAAGCTTCTGTAGGATCACTATCATTTTACCTGTGTTACTTGTAGGGTAAGTTTAGACTTCCCCTGGGAAGTCCAGCTCATTCCAGTCCATGTTCCCATGGTCCAGTTATCCCGACACTCACTGTGGACATTCTGCCTAACACAACTGAAGGCTTCAGGAATCTACTGGCCTTAACGAGTAGAAGACTACACCAAAGTATATTTTTTACTTATTGCACGCTAATTCGATCAAAATCATTTCTGTTTTTTTTTTTATCTATATATTGTTGAGGGGCCAAAGAAAGACTTCGGACTAAAAAAATCCAATATTCTTCCTATTTTTCTTGGATCGGGCTTCAAAGGGCTAATGTGTATGTGTATAAAGCAATAATCGCAATCAAATGAATAACGTTTTTGACTTCCACTCTTTGGCAAAGATGTGAATACGTTTTTCATCACTGAGAAAGAGACATGCATTAGAGAAATAACTCATGGCAGTATCAATCTAATCAGTTGTTAGCCTTTCCATCCAATCCGTGGAACAATTGGTTTCCCATTGGTTCCCAGAAGATGAGGACATTCATGGCAAATCTGCTTGAGGTTAAAACACCAGCTTGTCAGCTCAGCTCTAAAATGTTGGAAACCACTGGATTCTGATCATATCCATTACATCCACACAGGAATAATGGAGCTTTAAATCCAAAATGAGACCTGAGTGAACTGGCTGCAGGTGGACAGACGTGAAAGGGTTGATATTCATAAAACTCCCGCCTAAACAATATTCTGTTAACATGTTTGTGTAAAAAAAAAGGGAAAAACTGACACAACTTTTATAAAATTATATTCATTTGGCACAAAAAAGCATACTGTTTCCAAAATTAGATCATTCACAAGTTCGACTTATAGAGAATAGTAATGCTGCTTGAGAT